GAGTCCGAGATGAATAGTAAAGAGGCTGGACTATGTCCATTGGTACAAGACGAAGATATTGCGACTGGATGCCATGCCGAACGCCTTAGTAAGAGAAGACATCTGAAGATCGAATAAATCGATGAATACATTTACCTCATTCATGAGATCAACGTGAGGCATGATCAGGTTGGAGAGATTCCATGAATAAAAGAGTCGATTTGTGCATTTCGTTCCGTCAAGGAGCACCAGGAAAGAAATCCGCGACAACCTCTTCGATTCTGCCGGCATACCGGCAATGTTGCATGACCGTCATCACTCACTGAAGCCGAAAAGCGTCAGTTATCTGTCAGTGAGAGAGCGATAGAAAAACGAATGTAGGCAATTTCACCTAGTGACCATCCCTAACACGGTGATCAAACAGCGGACGGAAGTGAAGGGTGTTGAGATTGAATGCAGAAGGAACATGCTAGAGTAGTCTGAGACGTAGCTCGGCTCACCAACTGGTATCGAAATGATCGACAGGTATCCTTTTGAGCGAACTAAGCCGCTTGGTCTCCTCAGAAGGTCGCGGTTGGAGAGAGGAGGTTCGAAAGCCGCGGGGAATGTGGGTTTGCTGCTGCCTGCGCGACTTATCGTCGATTACCGTCCGGTCAAGGTGGTCCAAGAAATGAAGTAATCAGCAGTACGACTCAGGTATGCAAATACGTTAGGCATTGCAAAACACACCTTTCCTGACGGACGAGCCTTCGTCCGGTAAGCGTATCTTTAATCGACAAGGATTAGTCATAACTTAATCTATGAATAAAGGACAACCTTTCTGTTGTAGATATGGGACCTATGTGTGACGAATACTTCTCCACAGTGGCGATAAGAGGAAGCTGGGGTGCAATCACGAACTTAATAAGAGAAAAATTTAAAGCCGCGGCAGGAGTGGCAGAGATTAAACTCTAAATTATGAATGTGATGGTAAAATCTGGTGTAAATCAGCCATTCACTGTCTACCGAAGCGTTTTGTTTATGTAAGGCAGCAGGTAGCCTGATAATCAGTTGTACCCTGGTGATACGACGGAGTGTGTGGCGGAAGGCGTTGGTATTGCAAGTGCCAAAGCGGTGATTTTGTGCCTTCGAATCTGAACCAGCAGGGCATGTGTAATTTCATTCGCCGTACCAGAATCAGAAAACATACAGTAGTTATTTGAATTTAAAATTTCAAGGTTTTAGAATGATCACAAATGGTGTTACACTGTAATGGAGGTTAGAAAATGAAAAAGGGAAGCAACATTTTGTTGAAGGCATATGAAACCTTTTATAATACTTTTGTTCTATGACACTTATTTGCAAACCAATAGTAGTTGTTAATCTCGTCCATGGTTCAGTTGGATCATGAGAGGAACATACAAGCTCAGGCGGTGTTCCTGTTTTTGTCTCAAATTTCTGACCGTTCAGGATAGCTGTGGATGGTGCCTTCTCTCGTCTTCAGACGATGTCCAATAACTCAAATAATCCAATAATCTGAATTTTCAGTGTCTTCAATCTCTTTTTCCTGCAAGTAGCTGGTGTCAGTTTAGTGAGAGGGAGATGGACGGGGGTGAATAAATTTTACTACGAAAAGTTTTCATCATATTTTAAAGACACTGCAAACAGCAGTTTTCAAATTCTTATTTTAACAACATCGTTAAAATGTTCTCTCTCAGTTATCACTGCTTTGTCACGCATGATAAATTCTGCTAACTTCCTCTTACCAGGTCGCCTTGTCAACAGAATTTCTTTTGGTTCCTCACAGGCAGTTGCGTGATTACATCAGTGGTTCAGCACTAAACATTTAATCTACCTAGTTTTGCAACTAGTCCCTTCTTTAATTATTGATCGATCTCCGCGATCACGAGAAACACTGTGGTTAGATTATTGAGGTACACAAGGGAACTGCTGCTAACAAATATTAAATTTAACTAATTAAATTTAATTATTTCGCACAGGCTTTCCGTAATCAAATTATAGCACCCTGTTATGACACCTGAGGTTGGTAAATGTACTGTCCGCATGACAGGCAAAATACGCTGAATAGTGCATTTGTGAATAGCTGCTCTACACGTCAGGATTACGTAAAGGTCGATTCGGTCAGCTGATGAAACCGTAGTATTAGCAGTTGGCAGAATCGGTAGTGACTTTCAGTGACATTCAATCAAAAGAAAGGCAATCAGACATCAAACGTGAATGAAATGATTAGGAGACACAATCTGCATTAATCTTCATATTCATTTTTATCTCTCTTAGCTGCTTCTCCTTTTGGGTCTCTGAGGACCCAAACGCGTGAGAGTTATTCCAACGTTCGCGATCCTGTGCCAGAGTCTCAGCTCCGACAGAAGGCAACTGGAGTCTGGAACAGACTGCTTTCACATATTTGCATCAGGGTAATCTTGGCTCTTCTCTGGGCCTTATGCAGCTCGGTATCGCAAGAAACAGTAACTACATCTTCCTTTCTGATGGCATTCGAAACACCAGCCAAACACATTGCAGCTGTGACTTCTCAATCTGGAGAATCAGCGGCTGTACACCAAGGCTCTTCCGAATATCGGTATTCATGTCGAGACGCGTAAGGCAAGGCGGCTCGTCCAAGAAGGCCCATTTCAACAGCATGTATCCGGGTTCGAATGTTTTCAGTAATGGTCCACGATTCATGACCGTAT